GATTAAGAGTGTTCATAATTATATATAGATATCTGATTCTTTGGATAACAAAAATCATGATATTTATCTTAATTAACGAATATCGAATATCCAAAATAACCATACCGGATCACATGATACCCTTGACCAATTTGTTTATTTATTTTTTACATTTGAAATTATTTTAATTTATTTGATTTACATGATTAATTTGACTCGATTATTCAAACCTGATAAATTAATTAATTATATGAATACATTTAAATTATTCTGATCTAATTATGAAATTAAATATTCAAATATGAAATAAATTCAGTGTAATTATTTAATTAAAAAAGAAAAACCTAGTTTTTGGGTATCCGCCTAAGTGAAATACAATGGTCCTACCCGAACCATAAACCCGTAACATCTAGAGGATCGGGTGCCCAACTCGTGAACTTTATTTCTTTAAGAAAAATATCTGATATTTTCTATAGAATGTACAGGTAAAGGGACTGATTTGGGTCAAATATTTTTGAACAATCATACTATAAACATAGAAATAACAAATCATATAAATACATAAAATTTCTTATATCTCACACGATCAAACTAATAACCCATTTAGAAACTTGGACTCCTTAAAGGGCTAAAAGCCCATCCCCATATGAGATCTTAAAGCTCCTTAAAACGTGTTTGGTTCACAGAATGTAAGATTACCAGTGAGAATATGATTACCGGCAGGAATAAGATTACTGAGAATGTTGTATTTTGTGTTTGATTCGTTTAGCAGGAATGTAAGATTGCAGTGTTTGGTTAAAAGAATAAAAGATTATTGAAATGTATATTTTACCAAATTGTCCTTATTATATATTTGTTTTTTAACAAGTTGAATTCTACTATAATATTACTATAATTAATTTATATATTTTCTTTAAAAATTTAATTCATAAAATTTATATATTTTTTTTACAAATTAAAAAGATAAATAGGTTTAATGAAAGGGTAAAATTTTATTTTAACCCCTAAACTTCATATAAAATTCTAATTATGGATTTTTTTTTGGTAAATCTAAAATAGTTTAAGGATAAATTTGTAAGTTAACATTTATTATTCAATGACAGAAGAATGATATTTTTTATAGAGAGAAATTTAAGGGCATTTTAGTCCAAAATGCCGGTAATCCACAATATCTAAGGGAAGGGATAATCACATTCCCGATAATATACCCTAAAAATACCACTGTTGGGAATAAAAGATTACCGGGAATAAGATTACTAGCCAACTAAACGGGAGAATGACATTGCATTCCCCTGATAATCCCATATTACCTAAACCAAACACCCCCTTAGAGCTAAGCAACAAAGCCACGATACATGGTCATCTCTTGAACAGCTCTCCATTTAATATTCTAATTATCACACCGTTTTAGTGTACTTCTTCTTAATCTTTTAATCATTTTTTCAATAATCATCGTTATCCTACATCTAAGACCAGCACTAAGGCAATATGCATAAACCATCATAATCTAAATTTCTATATTTTTTATTATTATTTTCATATTATCTTCTCACGAAAACAACTACTGATGTTCTTCATTCAAATAAAAAAAGATGAACCGTCTATAATCGTCATAACACTATATTTCCTATCAATAATAATAATTTATCAATCATGTTATATTATCCTAAAACTATAAAGACCATAGATTAAATTAATGGCATGGATGTGTCAACCACACCCACTCGAGGATCACATGACAAATTACTTAGATGGACCGCCTTAAGATACCATTTCCATACCAAAACATGGATGCTGCTATGTCCAATTAAAATCAAGTTACACTTATTTTCGTCAACTGGACGAAAGGTATGGTGTGTCAATCAATCCAACTAATACTATTTTACATATATATGAAAACCCAATAATTGGACATAGAAAATTCAACGCCAAAGGTTGGACATTTTATTACATAAAATGACAATCTTGATCATTAAAACAAAACATATGTAGGGTCGAATGGATGTGATAGGTCGTCGACCATGCATAGACTACGTCGAAGTCTTTTGCTCTATTTAAGACACTAAACGTAGCAGCTTTGTGTCACGCACACTCTCAATTTCTCTCTTAATTAGTCTGTTTCACTTGGTGCCTGTTGAAGACGCTATGCCAGAGGTACTCTATAAGTATTAACTTCACCAACTCTAAATTATACGGATAACCATGTATCCAGCCATCCAGGGATGGATCGAAAGAGGATTCCAACACCTTCTAAAAATTTTAAATTGTCATATATTTTAAATATTTTTTTATATTTTTAATAATAATCTGTTTATACTTTTTTAAACTTTTATAAGTTGATCACAACATAAAATCTTACGTCTATTCATTTATTGATAAGAGCAATATTGTTGCAGGCCAAAAAAATGGTGTTGAAAGTTGACCTCCACTGCGACCGCTGCTGCAAGAAGGTCAAGAAAGTGCTCTGCAAATTCCCGGGCAAGTTTGATGGAACTCTTCTCTCTCTCTCTCTCTCTCTCTCTCAAAATTTATTTTTAATATATGATAAAATAATTATTTTGATCTTTATTCTTTTTTTAAGGTTTCATTTGGATAAAATATCCCTGATTGGATATTAACAGTTAATTGACTAATTGTCAATACTTGTCATTAACAGGACAAATATTATATGTCCAAAATAATGATGTAGTATATGCCACATCATTACTTATGTATACATAATATATCTCATATCATCATTTATGTACATATGACATGTATTATTTTATCACTTTGGATTTATAAGACTCTTACAACAATGATAAGTATTGACTATTAATTAACTAACTATTCCATTAGCCTAAAGATTAGTTTTAAAGAAAAATAAAGATTAAATTTGCATTTTTTTTGTATTATGCCTGAATATAAATGAAAATGGTGTAATTGAACAGAAATAAGAGACCAGAAATTCGACGACAAAGAAAATTCAGTGACCATCACGGTAGTATCCTGGGATCCCGACTGTATTAAAACCAAGATAAGGTGCAAAGCCGGCAGTTCCATCAAAAGCATTGAGATTAAAAAGCCTGAAACCAAACCATCTACTAAGCCCGAAACGAGTAAGATAGTATGGATACTTTGCAAGGAGTTCCACCGAAGTTCCATGCATCCAGAGCACGTGCATTTCGTTCCCACTGACGACGTGCAATGACAACTGTGGGAAGAAAATGAGTTGCAATTGGTGTGGAGGCAGTGGGTGCAAAGGCTGCTCGGGTCACGGTTGGATCAGCTGGAAATGTACCGTTTGCACGGGCGTGGCTCAATGTAAAGGGTGCGGTAGCTCTTCTCGTGGAGGATGCAGTGGCGACAACTGGTCTCGGTTATTGTGAAAAGTGTGCGGCAGCTCTTCTTGTGGTGGATGCATCGCCGGCAACTGGTCTTGGCCATCGTGCAAAGGGTGCGGCAGCTCTTCTTGTGGAGGATGCAGCGGCGGGAACTGGTGAGCAAAGAATGTCAGGTTTGTGTACAATCATGTGAGGTGGATACATGTCCCATCCACCTTGGCTTGTTATATTTTAGTTTTAATTTTAACATACCATGATAGATTCAGATTTTTATGCAAGATTAACTTTTTACCCATCGATTGATTTTCACTTTCAATGAAATTCCTTACATCTTGGTTGGAGTATTGACTTTCAAAGGTTGATTAACACAAAACATCGGGAAAAATTAGGATCAATTGTCTTTATAATAATGATTAAATAGTTAATCTTTTTGTTTAAAATTGTTGTTACTAGTGTAATTATTTCACTCTAAAGGACCCATGAGCTGGAATTTAAGGAAAATCTCTCGATAAGGAGTGAGGCTTATCCTCTTTTTTTTGCTGCTACGCTGGATGTTGTCTGAAATTAGGCTTAAAAGGGCCAAGGTTGCACGACACAAATTGGTATGGTTCTCATGCATGTGCCTAAGCATGCAATTATTACTTGAGTAACTATATTCGGTAGACTTGCAAGTTGCAACAAAAAGTAGGCGTGTGTGAATGAGAATTGATGTGGAATAATTTTACATCTTGTGTGGTGTTGCTGTTGAAATTAGGGGCCATCTTTCTTTTTGAGTACTTGCTTTTGTTAAGCATAAGAGTGTTTTGAGTTGATGCGGAGTCGTTACTCATCTTCAGCCCGTCTCAAACAACGTGCAGATTATGTTTTACCTTTTAATATGAGATTCCTAAAATATTTTGTAATAAAGATTAATTTGTTAAATTTAGAATTATGAGGGATCTACGATATCTTTTTACTGAAATGAGTTATAGAAATCAATTAAAAATATTGTCAAAATCTTCGTTTACAACTTTTTCTGTCACTTTACCGAGAGCCAAACGGAAAATTTGTTTTTCATTCGAACAAAAATATTGTTAGGACACAAAAATTGTACATGAATAGATTCATATGTGGACCCCAAATTTTGAGATACTATAACGTATCACAAGTCACACTTATACATGGACTAAATTACTCATCTTAAGATTAAATCTCTTTGTTACCTCGTTCTTAAATAAGTTTGAAATATTTTTATATACTTTATCTCGGAGGTGAGGAAAAAAGAGTTTTTGGTAACTTAGTTGAAAGTGGAGATAAGATTATGAATTCTATTAAGGAGGTAATGAGAATCGAATTTTATGAAAAATGTATAGATAAGATATCCTATTTATACATACAAATCATCTATAAAAATAAAATTTTACTCCACCTATAATTACATCACTAAATTCTTTTAAACATTAATCAACTAACTAACAATTATATCGTGTTTTATATTTATATCTAATCTATTTTTTTGACCTTATATCTATTCTATTTGACAAAGAGAGAGGAATAAAATAAATCCACGTATATATAAAAACTCAAATCAAACTATGTGTCATATTAACGTCAGCCATCTCATGCAGAGATAAAGAAGAGTCAGCAATCATATAAAATTCTACACAAATTCCACGTGTCGACGACCGGTTGGGTTGGTGTACTCCCTAGTCTAGGCTGCCTGCCTTACCTTTAATGGATTTAAGCTTCAATTTTAAGGCTCTCTTCAATCCTCCATCTCTCTTCCCCAAAATCATTTCATCGTTGAGTTCAGATTTCAGATTCCAGATTCCTCAGTTCCAAGCTATGGCCGAGAAGGTTATTTCAATCTCATCCCTTTGTAATTTCTATGTAAATTGTAATGCATTTTTTGCGGCTGCCACATTTTTGTAAAGGAAATTATTATAATCATTCCTTCTTCTTTTTCTCTTTCTTTCTACTATGTCAGAACCTGAATCTTGTGATTGTTCTTTACCCTCTGTGTTTGCCAATGATGATATAAGGGAATTATTTACTCTCTTTTTCGTCGTTGTTTGTGTGTACGGATGTAGATGGTGATAATGGTGCTGAAGGTGGACCTTCAGTGCTCCAAATGCTACAAGAAGGTGAAGAAAGTGCTCTGTAAATTCCCTCGTGAGTTTCTCTTCTTTGATTTCTGTGATTCCGTGTTTGGTGTTTAATAATTTCCAATTAGTTTGAGTTGCTTGATGATCTGAGTTGATGTTTTGATTATGGGTTTTGCGAACAATAGAAATCCGAGACCAGATTTATGATACTAAGGCTAACACGGTGACAATTAAGGTGGTCTGCTGCGATCCTGAGAGGCTCCGGGACAAGTTGTGTTGCAAGGGCTGCGGATCCATCAAGAGCATTGAGATCAAACCACCACCGAAACCACCGGCACCGGAGAAACCGAAAGAACCCGAAAAGCCGAAAGAGCCCGAAAAACCCAAAGCTCCCGAAAAGCCGAAAGAGCCCGAGAAGCCCAAAGCACCGGAAAAGCCGAAAGAACCCGAGAAGCCCAAAGCACCGGAAAAGCCGAAAGAACCCGAGAAGCCCAAAGCACCGGAAAAGCCGAAAGAACCCGAGAAGCCCAAAGCACCGGAAAAGCCGAAAGAACCCGAGAAGCCTAAAGAGCCCGAGAAGCCGAAAGAACCCGAGAAGCCTAAAGAACCCGAAAAGCCAAAAGAACCAGAGAAACCGGCACCACCACCAGCTCTACCTCCAGCACCGGCCCCAAAGCCTCCGGAACCCATTCCTCCACCGCCAATGGCTTATCCGCCTACGGGATGCTGTTGCTCGGAATGTTATCATGGGATTCCAGGGGGACCTTGCTATTACGGTGGACCACCTCCACCACCAGTGGCATGTTACGAGAGTTACGGTAGGCCAGTCTACGACAGCTGGGGCGGGTATAGCAACTGTTACACAAAGAGGCCGGGTGAATGCTTTAGCGACGAAAACCCAAACGGATGCTCAATCATGTAATGTAAAAGCGGCACATGAGTCAATTTCATCACTGATAATAACGACGTACATGTGTTGATTAATGAGGTGGGTGGTGGACAATTGTTGGGTTATAGAAAAAGTTTGTTACCAATAAAGATATAAAATAATAAATGAATGGTTTCCACCCACAATTATTTGCTAAAATAATAAATGAATGGTTTCCACCCACAATTATTTGCTTTTTCCTTTCGTCTTCTTTCGTCCATGTTGGAAATCCAGATCAGGACTTCCAAAGTTGTTAAAAGGTTTCCATAAGCCTACTTCATTTTTAAGCCACGTAGTCATCTACAACCTTTAACTTCATCTTTTTCTATAAATAGTCTCAAGTCTCATGTGGCACATTAGATAATAATATTTGTTTAAAATATTATTTTAATTAATTAAATATATATATATATATATATATATATATAATATAATTGCTTGAATTTAAAATCTCAGTTACTTAGTAAAATTTTGATTTTACATGTTTACTGCGTATATTTAGAAGAGACGACGTCAAAATAAAATATTAAAATAAATAATAATAATAATTAAAATTATTATTTTACAAATAAAATTATAATGTTACGTGTCTAGTTTGGATTTTAAGATTTGAAGGTTTAAGTTTGGAGACTATATGACATAATATATTAGTAATATAAATTTTTTTATGCGAGATAAACACAAATAAAATTTCAGATTAAACGCAATCAATAAAATAAATAATTACTTAAAAGAAAGTTTGAATTTGAGAGTGAACAATTATATATACAACTCATCAAGGCGTGAAATCATTTAAATATATGGGATGGTGTTCAAATAGATATATTTAAAAAAAAAAATTTACTTCAAATACATGACCAAAATTGTGAGTAGATACATGCATCAGTCTAATATATGACATAAAAGTGACTATAGAAAGAGATTGAAAGTGAGCAACAACAACACATACACATGACGAAAATAATCAATAATTGAAAGTGACTTGACTAACTTTATACATGTAGTTGGATTCAGTATTTAATAAAGTTTAGATTGAATATGTATAAATTAATTGTATTTAATAAAGTATTTTTTGATTTAACTATCAGTAGTTGATTTATTAAACAATTATTCTAAATCAAAATTTATAGAGGTTATTATGAGATAATCTTTTCCTTTTCAACTCGATTTACTCTATTCGTAAATATCAAAAATTAAACTTATAATTTTACTTAAAATATTTAATTTCCCATTCTACTAAATTAATTGGTCGTTAATTTTATTTAATAAAATATTTAATGGATTGCACTTTGTATAAGATGAAATGAAATAATAAGATGATAAACATTCCCGTGGTCGGTGGTGTGGTCAGCATCCACCACTCGAAATGGTCTATTCTTTCAAGTTGCTACTGACTTAGCAAACAAAAGAGCTTGGGGATTAAGCTAGGTTCATGTGAATGAATTAACTAACTAATTAATTCCCTTAAATATTATATATTAACAATAAAATTCGCAAGTGAAGCTGCACTTTTGCCAATGCATTCATTATCATTTCAGCATTTAATTTTGTCTTTGATTGGACTAAATTAAATTAATTAATTATATCTTGGAAAAATTGTATATTAATCAAACCCCCTGAATATTTATTTTATCAAAAAGATAAAAAAATCAAAAGAAAGTTTTATCACAGCCATTTATTCATGTCATATCCTCAAGTCATCGGATTTGCACAGATGGAAATGGAAGTTGCTTTCAGATTTAATATACGAAAGATATTGTTAACATGCCATCATGCAGTCAAATCCGACCTTAGCTCAGTTGGCAGAGCGGAGGACTGTAGTTGGGTCTGTGATCCTTAGGTCGCTGGTTCGAATCCGGCAGGTCGGACTTTTTCACATCTTTCCTTCTCTTTTAACAACTTTCATTTATATCACCACCACTATTTCTTTCAGGCAATGGCAAAACTTTACTTCAGACATTGGTTATTCTCAATAATAATCCTTCAACTTTATACCTTCTTGAAATAATAAGAAGTCATATGACACTACTAAATCTTTAATCACTTACTAATCCACACTCCAATTTTCCCTTTTTCGCATATACATTCGCTTTACAAGATATTTTAATGTCTAAAATAACTCAGTATATTTACTCCATTAATATAAATATCAATTTTTAAGGTTTTAGATATTTATATTTCAGAACAACAAGATAAATTAAAAAAATTAATTTTGTAATATTATATATCTTCATTACGGAGACATATATTCTCTTTTTTTTAAAAAAAAAAACAATAGTAAATAACACAATTTGAAAACTATGTAAAAGTTATCATTACATTCAAGTTTTTTTTTCTATAAATAACACAATTTGAGAACTAAAAGTTATCATTATTTAAGATAATTGTTGTATCAAAAATTACATTTTTTATTCAAATCAATTTTGTATTGCGTTGTGACATACTATGTAGTTGTGATAGTAAAAGTTTTACATGATATAAAAATCATCTAATTTTATCCTTCTAAATTCAAATATTTGTGCATTTTAATTTGTTAGTTATTATAATTTAAACTAGTCAGTTTACAAACTTTTTCCTTTCCATATAAAGAAGAGAAATGGGAAATGAAAAAATGATATGCGCCGTGGCCGGGGATTGTACCCGGGTCACCCGCGTGACAGGCGGGTATATTTAATACTATATTACAACGACCATGCGATGATGACTAGCTATTACTAGTATAACAATTTAATCCAGTTACAATTATATCCAAGACACAGAAAAGGAATCAAATGAATTCCAATTCTTTTCAACTTAAAACCATCCATGATGGTAGTGTAAGAAGAACGATGAACTATTTTCTTCGTTGTTTTTCCTTTCCAGATTTGTCTAAAACTTCATTCATCTCCGACTATCACATCCTCACTATGTCTTCCTTTAATGGCCAAATTTTGTACCTTCTGATGTGGCTCAAAGCTATTTTAATTGATACGTAAATTGCTCTTGATGATGTGCCTATAGTGTGGTGTGATAATCCGAGTGTTAGTCATGATATTTATTCCCGTTTTTTTTATATGAAGTCTAAACATGTTGATCTTAATGTTTACTTTCTCCATGAAAAGATTCTAATTGAACAATTTTGAGTTAAATACGTTCTATCTCAATGATAAATTGTTGATAGTAATCTTGGATTACAATGATTATAAGTGATTTATCCTTTTTGATCTGGGTTAAGAGTCGTAATTAATGGTTTCATGACGGATGGTCAGTTTAAGATGATAGACAATTTACTCTCAATCTCATATGAGCAATTTTATAACGACTTTTAGAGTTAGAGTTAGTGTTAGATCTAAGATCATGATAACTATTCATAGGTTGAAAAGATTGACAAATATTAATGTTTGACGCTAAATTTAACTCTATCAGACCATGTGAACCTAACGATCATGATTAACTGGAAAACATAGGTTTTCAGACTTTTGAATCAATAAAAGAGTTCTTTCTATCCTTAAGGGTGCATTTGGTTCACGGAATGTAAGATTACCATTGGGAATAAAAGATTACCAGGGAATAGGATTACTGGGAATATTGTATTTTGTGTTTGGTTGGTTTAGCAGGAATGTAAGATTACCGTGTTTGGTTAAAGGAATAAAAGATTATTGGAATTATATTTGACCAAATTGTCCTTATTATATATTTGTATAATATTACAAATTGTAAAATATTTATATATTTTCTTTAAAAAATTAAATTCATAATATTTATATACTTTTTTTCCAAAATTAAAAATATAAAAAAGGTTTAATGAAAGGGTGAATTTTTTTTAACCCCTGAACTTCATATATAATTTAAATTATAGATTTTTTTTTTGTAAATCTAAAATAATTTAAGGATAAATTTGTAATTTAACCTTCGTAGAATTTTTATTATTCAATGACAGAAGAATGATATTTTTGAAAAAAAAATTAAAATTTAAGGGCATTTTAATCCAAAAAGCCGGTAATGTTACAATACCTAAGGGAAGGGAGGTAATGACATTCCCGATAATATATCCCAAAAAATCTACTATTGACAATAAAATATTACCGGGAATGAGATTCCCGGCTAACCAAACATGGGAATGTGAGATTCCCATCCCATGGGAATCACATAATCCTTGACCGGTAATGTTACAATACCTAAGGGAAGGGAGGTAATGACATTCCCGATAATATATCCCAAAAAATCTACTATTGACAATAAAATATTACCGGGAATGAGATTCCCGGCTAACCAAACATGGGAATGTGAGATTCCCATCCCATGGGAATCACATAATCCTTGAACCAAACACCCCCTAAGAGATTTACCTTTTGGAAGGTGAGTGTGAAAGTAGGGAGTAGCTGAATTTGGAGAAGACTTGTTGAAATTAAGGGCGGCTAAAATGCAATTGGATTTTTTTGATCATAACCTCATTATTGTTGAGATTTGGAAGGATGTTAGGCAGAGGAGGGGCAGGTGGAGTGGCATAGATTGGTTTGATAACAATTTCATATTCCAAAGCACTCGATCATCTCTTGGATGATAATTTTTAAGAGATTGCCTACGAAGGATAGGTTGATTTCCTTTGGTATTAATGTGGATGTTGTTTTTGTTCTCTGTGGTAATGAGCTTGAGTCTAGGGACCATATTTTCTTTGGCTGCACTTTTTCTAAAACAAATTGGTTGAGTGTGTTGCAGGCTTGCCATTTGCAATGTAGAGTGGGGAGTTGGAGTTAGGAGCTTGCTTGGGAGATTGCTCATCTTAAGGGTAAGTCCTTGTGTAATATCTCAAATTTTAGACTGGTGATTGAAAAGTAAAATTTGAAAGTTTGGTGATCAAAGTGTAAATTTGAAAAGTTTAGAGACTAAAAATGTAAATTTTCAAAAGTTTATTTTGGGTATGTAATTGAGTAGTTCAGCCCAAGAAAATAATTTTAGTGGGTTTTAGAATTTTGATTTGAAATTGATATAAAAGTTTATTAAGCGATAAAGTCCAATAAAATATTCAGATAATTGGATCGAATCTACAAAATTTGAAGGAAGGAAGTTTGAGATTAGAAAAATTATATTGGTATTTTTAATTAGTATAATTTG